CGGACTTTTAAATAGATGGTAATCTGTGTCGGGACGAACAAGAACGAGGGAGGCGGTGGAAGTTCGTAGTTCGTAGACCAATTAGAAGTTTTCGCGGGACAGTGTACAACTATATTGCTCTTGGTTATCGTAATGCCGAATAAAATTTGATCGTAATCCACGCGCTTCCATTTTATCAGCCGTGCTTTCGCAACAAGATTTTCTAACGCCGTTCCGCGAGGTATTAAACTAGGAAAAAATGCGAAAAATCCTTAGAATCCCATCGTCGAGATCCGGTTTAGCATATATGTACCCTGTAGAAACATTTGCCAGGCTCGCGAATTCCCATATTTCTCAATTTTAAACATCCGAGACGCAGAAAACCGAGTGTAGTCGACGCCCCGCGATGCTCTCTTCTATTTCCCTGGGTGGATACAAAGCAAGAGCGAGAACGGAGAAAAAAGTATTTTCGATGCGAACGAAGTCACGGAAGAATATCTATCGGTAAATATCTCGCTCGCATACTTTCGAATTCCTTCGGGGGTCGTGTTGGTCGAGCATAAAGCAACGATCGCGTGTAAACGGTTCGATCTCGCGAGAGAACAACGCGTTACGACTAACAAAGTGGAATTGGAAAATTTCTCGCGTCTTCCTCGAGGAGGATGAGAAGTCTCGCTCGCGATAATGCTTCCCGGGAGACGAGCTCGTAAAGGTAGATAATTGCGCGTGAAAGTGAACGTTGGTAATCCCGGCGGTGCATCGCGCTCGCTGCGAATTCCTCGCGTGACTCGAGACTGCTCGGGTCCCGATCCCGGCCAGCTGGTTCCTGCCGAGCATGTGCCTTCGTTTTATGCATGCGCGAAAGCTGGAAGCCTGACTGGCCGGTGAATGCACCGCCATAAGTATCGGGACACTTGCCTCCTATGGAAGGTCAATAAATTATAGATTAACCGTGATCGTGGTAATTTGTGTAACAAACGTTGCCACACTTGCCGCAATCTATCAGCTATTGTTTCGTACGATAATTGCTCGTGCACTCGCGTGACGACGATTTCGGGCGCAAAATTTGTTTAAGAGATATCGTTCTCGCTGGCTCGAATCCGATCTCTCGCTATCGTGGTTCCTGTGCCAAAATGCGTTTCTTCCAACCCATTATTTTTTACGATACCGACCGTTTTCAACGGGAATCCGTCTTCCCGTGCATCTGCTCCCGCCAATTCGCATACTTCTCCCTTCCCTTATCCCGGTTCATCTCTTCGTTTCCGAAGGTAGCTTTTCACGCGAACCGAAATTAGTCTGGCTACGAGAGATCGAGACTCGATCGGGTGTAGATCGAGGGGAACACTTGGATATAAGCGTTCACTGGTACGGTTTAAACTTTGAGAAGTGTAGATGTACGTGCGTGGATGTACACGATGGGTACGTGCTTTTACGAGGAGGTGTAAAGCGTGCTTTTGTTTCATGGCAATTCCAGGGGACGTTCCTTCCAGGATGTGGTTCTCAACCCCGTTTTTATCCGAGGAACATGCTCGGAACACTAAACAGCCAGTTCTCGCCCGACATAAAACCTGTCGTATACGATTACACGAATTAGACGGTTCGTTACATACCCGGTGGTTTCCCTTTGTCCCATTGCCGGTTTAACAATAAATGCGATATCACGTTCGAATGTCGATCCATTCGCATTCCTACCATTTCCATGTCTTTGCTGGAACGGATATAATTCGATAAAGTCGTGAATTCTGGGCGCGTCCTGTTAGACGCGTGATTATCAGCGTCCGGAGTTTTATCTTTATTTAATTTACGGTATCGTTTTAAAAGAACGGAACGTTCTCTTTAAATACCGGAGTATTTATTGATGGATTTCAAACGGGACTCCGGGAGGTTGAAATTTGGAGGCGCGGTCCGAGGATACTGGGGGATGGATATCGGAATCCGATGAAATTTTGTTCCGCAAAACAGTGTCGCAATTAGCGTAAAGCATCGATATACGAAATGGCACCGCGCTGCGTTCCTGAAACGCGTGACCCGAGCGCGACCGGTGAGCCATTATTTAGTTACGTACCTCGGAGAGAGAGAGAGAGAGAGAGAGAGGAGAGAACCGTCTGACGTCAGTTCCGATATAACCAGAAATTCGTTAAACTTTTACAATTACTTCCCGGGACCCGGTTTGGATTTAAACCAAAATAAAACGAGAACGGGAGTTCGTTCGGTGCGCGCATACCGTGAATTCGTCGGGGAGTGAGAAAAATTTAATTAAAATTTACTACCGGAAGTAAAACGAAACGAATTAATCGAAACTGGCCTTTCTTGGGGATAAAAGCGCGGCGAAAGCCCGTGCCGCTCACTGAAATTTACTTTGATGCCATCGGTCGTTGTTTACTCGATCCGAGTTCAGTTTATCGTGGCTCACGATTCCAATGATTTTCACGAAAAACGGCTTTTCAAACTGTTTAATGCCCTTTGATCGGTATCGCCGCGGAAACAAGTTCATCCGTCGGACCTTTTTTCAGACGCAAACGTTTGCCTCTTGAATAGCCGGCGTTAACGCTTACCAAGTGTAACTGCGAACGTGTAACGCGAGTTATCCGGTGCGATTCAACGGATAGTTGGTTCAATTTGGCAAACACACGTGACGTTCGTTAGTTTGCGCGTCCGCGTCTCCTTCGATCCGTGTTTCTCATTGGCTCGGATCGGTTTCGCGTGACCGAAGTTCGATGCACGCACAGAATTCGCTAAAGCCCTCCGGAGACGAGATTAATTTCCACTCGTAATGACGCACGATTAATAATTGCTCGTCTACGATCCGGTCGGGTCGCGTTTAGCCACGGTTCCTTGGCCCGAGGCAAAGCGATTCGCGGATCGTTTTGCATGATCGTTTCCAAAGAATAGGAAACGCATCTCGCCTCCACGTCTAGGAAAAAAATTATCTCCAAACCGAGAACCCGATGCGTTTATAGGAATTACACGTTCTGCGTTTCAACGTGTGGCGCGTAACATCGCGTAGAATTTAAGTAACACGAATATAAATAACTGTTTTGTCCCATTCGATCACGAAATCGGCTCACCTGCGACGATCGATGAAAAGTTGCCGGGTGTATAAGTTTCGAGCAAAGCCTCCCCGGGGTGTACTGGAACGGACGCATTGAAATTTGTTACTTCCGTAAATACATATTTTCCGCTTGCCGCGCGGACGCGTTTGCACGGAACAAAGATATAAATACGGAAATAGGTGACACAGAAATTCTCCGTATAATAATTGCGCTTCGTACGAATCTGATCCGCAAATTTTCGTCGTATCCCGAGCGAATGGGAAATATTAATTGCGAAGAAAAGTTGTAATAAAATTACTGGTAGCAAAAGTTCAATCCGCAATAACAGAAATAACTAGAAGTTGAACCGTGACACGATTAACTCCGCATTTTGTATGCAAATCTTAAATTACATTTGTTAATATTTAAACGTAAATAATTCCATGTGGTACAATTTCTCACAGAGCACGTTTGACGCGACTCTGACACCGGTTCCGCGAACACGGCATCAAACTTATTACCGAACACAAATTAGTATTCGACAAAATGAGATTTACTTTATCGGCGTAGGTCCCCCGTCCCTACTCCATTGTTTAACGCGATACAGTGATTTTCCCGTGCTTACCTACGCGCGAGCGTAATCCGCGTTAATCATCGATTACCCGTTCAAATCCCCCATTACGGTGCCATTTCGAATATCACCAAAATCCTCCACGGAATGGAATTATCCTGGTGAATCGGGGAAACGAATAATTATAATGAAAAGCCATACAGGATTTTGTAAACTATCTGGACACGAGGACGTCCCCTCTGGTAACTCTATGAACCGTAATTAATGGCAACGCGATGATCGAAAACTGAGTCAGCGAGACGTATTCCTTTTTAGTCGGTCGAGCAATTTCCTGTGACGCGCATCCTCGTGTAGCCCGAGTCGTCTACGTTCGAACGGCTTCCGTCTTCCACCTTACACACATCCGAAATTTAATACCCGTCGCCCTGTCCCTGACGCGGCTCAATTTACGATCGATTGTTAACGTAAAATTAAATTTTTAAACCGGGTCCTCGCCGTCTCGCGCGCGTCATTGTGCGCTCAGCGACGGCAATTTTAAGTGGAACTTCACCCGCCTTTTCCTTCTTTTCTTACTCCGTATTGGCTTACGTGTCTTATCTGCGCTCTCCCTATACTCTACGTAAGCGCTGTTTCAATGGAACCTACATTTCCCGCGCCCTATTCAGACAACCTGCCTCTCCACGATCTTTAATTTCTCTGCTCTATGACCCGTTTACTTGGTCCTTTCTTTGCCACCAAGATTCTTTATCGCGAAACTTGAACTCGTTTAATGGATACACTCTAAAAATTATCTGTCTAGCTCTCGTTCGTCGGACATGTTCAGAATCAATAGGGACAGAAAGATGTATCTGTCGGAGCGAGTTTCAAACATTTTCCTCGGCGTTACGATACGTAGGTGACCCGAACCGGATTATCAACCTGGGAGAATTTCAAAAACAGATGGCAAATTCGTGTTAAACATTTCCGGGCTGAAAGCGGGCACGGCTGGCCGTAAAATACCTCGTAAAACACCTGTCTCTGACGTTAAAATAATTTGTTAACTACGTTTGCGTTACCTGGTATCATCGATATTATTACGCCCGGAAAATGTAAACGGTGATATACCGGAAAGCTACGGATACACCGAAAAATGGATCGTTGATTAGGCTTAATTACGTTTAATTACATTACGTCGAAATCGTTCCTGCCCGCGAAATTTATGCGACGTGGAGCTGAACGCGGAACGAAATTATCGCGCGGTGAAAGTAAAAGTGGATCCCCAACTTGCTGGTCGGAACGACACGATCTTCTTTCACGTTCGGTTACGCTTTTCGGGGAGAAACGAGCGTAAACGTTTCTGAAACCAAGTCGATAGAGCGGAATAACGTTTAACTGGTCGCGGTTATAGAGGTAAATTAACAATGAAATCCTTTTTGCAGGTGCCGGTGATTCACAGACACCGTTCGAAGAGGCGAAAAGTGGTTTCGGCGCGGAGCGAGCATCGAGAGAGAGAGAGGAGAGAAAGGGATAAAAGGCAGCTCTCGGTGGCGCACACGTTTCGAGGAAATGAATGGACGCGGTAACTACGGGAGCATCTCATCCAGAAGGAACACACCGACTGATTCCACACATTAAATGTACCCCCAGGAATTCAGGTTCCGCCCGAGGCTCTCGCGAATCTGGGATGGCTTCGAGCAATGATGATATCGGATTAAGCCCGGCTAACAAGTTCGCCTCGGTTCTATCGTCCGTAAAAGTAGATAGGTTTTAAATCGAGTCTTGCCCTGGGAACAAGGCAACGTTGTAACGCCGTTACCACGGCGAAATAATCCGAGGGTTATTGAATCCCGATGATATAATGCAAGTACACGAGGCAAGCCGGTAATAGTCGCTCGTGTACGGAGCTTTCCACTGTACCCTTAACGAAATAGAGAAAAGGAGCGAGTGTACTCTCTGTGTTTGCTGCTTCTCTATAGACGTTGAAAAGAGATCGGTGGCGACCATCGACAGAGAGGGTATAGTCAGCGATCCATTCTTAATTTCCAATTCGCAGTCGATCGGTCCTGGCGGCGAATCGCGTGGAAATTTGGTCTCGCGGCGCCGTCGTTCGAAAATGTAGATAGTCGAGCGCGTACTCGACGGATAACGGAGAAGAGGAACGATACGGATCGCTCGAAGAGGAATTCGAGTAGTCGGAGCACCGATCGAATTGACCACGGAACCACTCCCAAAGATCAGGCCAGTGATACAGTTATTATCCATAGAGAAACGGAGAAGGCGGCAAGGGGTTTCGGCAAAGTGGAATGCACTCGCCGCCGTCTAGAACGTTTAGAAATGTAATATTTGAGTTGGAGATGACGAGACTTGCTGTGAGGCTGTAGCCCGCAATACCGACAAAAGTTTCCGAAAGAAGAGCGCGGCGAGCCGAAGCCGAAGGGCAGATAAAATAGGGATTCGTTAGAGGAAGATACACAGACGTCGTCACAAGTGTCCTTAGAACGTTGAGTGTACTTGCTCGTAGTCGTGCGCGTCCCGGCACAGGGCTCTCTCGTTTTCTATTCTCGGTTATGGAATGAACCGATGCCCGGCTGAACGCTTAGGCTGTTGGTGCTTCTCCCGCTTCAGGTTCTCCCGCTATCGAGCATCGTTGTTATCATGACCTCAACGACGCGTCCGCTCCCGTCGACGCTGATGCTTCTCGTCCTATGCTTCTGCTCGATCCCGCTCTCTTCGGCGAGCGGCGACGGTGGACCGAACAGCCCGATCTTCAACTTGGACAATACCGCGTTGGAGAAGAACATCGCGGCGATATTCAGCAAAGTGGCGCACAGTTCAGCGACCACCAAGCGTAGCGTGCCGGCCTATGATGCCCAAGTCTCGGCCAGCACGACCCTGTCGACGGTGCCGTCACCCTTGACGACCACCACTACGACTACGACGACGACGACAACGACGACGACGACGGCCAGTCCGACGATTCCTACCGTCAGATACCCTCCTCCTGTTCCCCGGGCGACCGTGTCGCCGGTGTTCCGCGAGTTACCCTCGTACGCGCCCCCTTCTCGCGCTCTGTTCACTCCCCCACTGCCACCCGAGTACCTCCATCCGTTCGCGAATAAGCCGACGCTTAGAGGAACCAACTCGGACGTTCATTCTGGTCACAAAAGACCGGTGCCACCGCCCAGCGGCACGCCGGCCCACGAGAGGATACCCATCAGGCCACCCGACCTCAAGGGCCCGTCCCAAGTGCCGGAGAGGCATTCGCATTCGAGAAACAAGCCTCTGAACACACCCAGCAAGGAGCAGAACGTGGTCGAGTCCAGCGACTCCGACAGGAGAAACAATACAAACGAGTTCGTGCCCACCCTGCACTACCCGAGCATCTCCAGGATACTCTCCGGCAGCAACGGTAAGAAACAGGATATCCCTGAAATCCTGTTAAAACCCCTGGCCACAAAGACCCCGCCGCATAACGCGCCCGTAGTTCCGACTACGGAGAAGATGACCATGCCGCCCACTACGACGGCCAGGACGTTCAGCACGTTGAATCCCTCCAAGTCCGCTACGCAGCCGACGATCTTCAACCTGCCGAACACCAGGAGGCACGACGACGACGGTTACCACGGCCTCAGAACCGAGAACGGTTTCAAGACGGAAAACATTGAAATCGTGGACACGGAGAGACTGCCGTATCCTCAGCCACAGCCGCCCGCGCCACCCCCGAAGAGGCCGAACGAGGCCGACGATCGCAACGTGCCGCAGGTCGACACGCAGCATCCGCTCGAATCCACTTGGCGGGTCGCCTGGTTCCTTCACGTATACGTGGCCGCGATCCTCTTCACGTTAATGGCTCTATACTCGATCTACAAGATCGTACGTTTCAACGAGGCAACGAATCTCCTCACCCAATCGTATTTCCTCACGGTTCACCTGCTCCTCACCACCGTCTGCACTCTTAGGTGCTTTCATCTGTTTTACGACGCTTACAATCTGGGCCATTCGTTGCCCGAACCCCTGTCCCGAGTGCTCATGTACCTCCCCGCGCCGTTGCTGTCCAGCGCGTTCGCCACTCTGGTCCTCTACCTCGCGCGTTGCTCCGAGGCGCCGTCGTTGAACAACAGGTTTCTCTCGCCGATCGCGTTGATCCTGGCGTCGACGATACACTGCGTCCTCTGTATCTCTCTTCACGTGTCGACGCACGTGCTCGGTTACCAGGACGAGGCCAAGATACTGCCGCTGATCTGTCAGTGTATCTACATCATCGTCTGCGTGACCCTCGGGCTCGGTTACATGTACGTGTACCGAGTGGTGCGTTCGCAAATCTTGTTGACCAACAACAAGACCGCCGGAGCGAATCACATAGTCGGCGCCGATCCTACCACGGTGGCCCTGAGCACGGCCATCACCACCAGCATCGCTACAGCTGTCGTCTTCATCCTGATGGGCTTCGTCCAATTGTACGGCATCTTCGGCAACGTCCAGGAACGACCGCAGTCGTATCCTTGGCTCTGGTGGGGCTGGCAGTTCTCCGTCAGGCTGTTGGAACTGGCGGTGTGCGGGCTCCTCGCCTGGGTAGCCAGTCTGTCTCAGTACCCGTTGAGGGAGAAACAGCTGCAGCAACACCCGGTGCATTCTGGTTTCGCTCTGTTTCCCTGCGGCAACTCCACATCCACCGAGAACATGGACGATGTTCTTTACCCGGCTATCTGCAGTACCAACCAGGCGATACAGAACTACACGATGAGGACCGGGAAACAGGTTTACGATGACGGATTCCCGCTGAACACGCTACCCGAGCATTTGAACATATCAGGTAACCAGCGATATTCGACGTTACGGTCTCGATCGGCTGATGACCGTTCTCCGATCTCGTTTCCGGTTCACGAATAACACCGTTCTCACCTATTTCTCTTACCATCTCGTTTAAAACCGAATTCCCTGCTGACATACGTGCTCTGGGATATTTTATAAACTGCTGATTGGCGGTTTTTCATTTTCCACGCTGCACCTTTTACCTGGAAGACTGTTTTCGCTCAAAGCTCGGTCGCGTGTAAAATGTAACGCACGTACCGCGGAGAGAGCATTTTTTATTAGAGTCTTTTAATGAAATTCATGACGAGGTAAAGGTTCTTTTAAAAACTTGATTTTAATTCCACGTTACTGTCTCGCTCTTTCCCTCGCAACATGTAACGATAAATTAGGTCGCGCGGGGTATAACGCGCTGTTTCAGTCAATGCGCGCTTTAAGAGAAGGGAGAGAGAGCCCCGGAACGCTGACTCGCGGTATTAGTACAATATTGAAACCTCGAAATCAGCAGTTCTTTCCGCGCTTTGTCTTCTAATCGACGCGCTATTACCTCTAAGGCAGCGTCGACCGGAATAGCACATTGTCTGGAGACATTGATTTTGTCAATTCCCGCTCCGGTTCGAAAATAAAAGAAATTCAATCCGAATGTAATTTTCCGAGATCCCTCGCACTGTTCTTGACAAAAGTTGAACCTCCCCTTTTGTGTAAACGAGATGCCATCGAGAAACTAGAATAAAATTTTATATAAACTTAAAAGCGTTTGCTGAGCACCAACTCATTTTTTAAGGTACTTTCGAGAGGCATTCCATTCGCAAGTCGGGCACCATGGGCCACTTTCCGCACGAGGGGCGCGGTTCGTTAAACCGGCACGGTAACGGTATACAGACCATGCGGAACTCGGAGACTCGCGACAGGCACACCCCGGTGCAGCAGGTGACCGGTGGCCACGAGCAGACGCCGACCACGGGCTCGACGATGCTCGTCGCCGAAGATGGTTTCGTCAGATTCCGCAGTCTGGGTGCCGAGGACGACGAATTGTCCGACACCCCGAGCATGGTCGGCACCCACGGCAGAGGAAGCTCCCTCGCTGGAAGCGTAAGGTTCAACGCGAGACACCCGGCGCTGCATCAGCATCAACACTCTCTCCAACATTCGCACCAGAGTCAGCATCAGGCTCACCACCAGCTGTACATCAATACGTAAAAGTCTGATGAGGGTGTTAAGAATGATAACTACTTGTTCCCGTTGTCTTGGTGAGTATCGACGCTGCGTTATATAAAATTTTATAAAAAGTTATTCAAGTTCCCTTACGAAACGCCGCCGTCGCTTGAAAATTGTAATATCGTAGATGCTATCCGGCAATATTATTCGTATAACCAATTCGTATAACCGTTCACTGAAGGCATATCGTCGATAAAAAGGATGAAGAATATTCGCTTGGAAGAATCTTTCGCCTAGACGTCATAATGCAGCGCGCGTAATTCGGTTACAATGAAAGAACAGGTAACGGGTATAACGTGGTCGCATTAAAAAAGTTCAGATTCCACGCTTCCGCGCGTTTTATCTCCCCAAGAAGTTGATAAAAAAGTTCACCTACCGGAGGTTCAAGTTACCCTCTCTCTTTCTCTGGCTCTCGTTCTCGCTACAGCGGCGGAATAGCAACGCTGTTAAAAGCAATTTGATAGGAACAATGAATTAGCGCGAGCGCGAATTCTTCCGGTAGGTACAGCGGATACGAGCTTTTAAGAGATTCCTTACGGTCCTAATGATAACGGTAGATAAACGGCAGATTTAGAGCTACTATCCTATAAAACGCGAGCAAAGTGGAACGTATTACAAGTTTCTTACGATTGTTTTCTTATCTTCTCTGTTGCAGATTACGGTCAGAGGTGAGATCGTCAACAAAGATATAAAAAGATGTTCCGCGTGGCTCTCACTGCGACAACTAATGGTCTAAACAACTTCGAAGAAACTACTTTTACCTTTACCTTTTTATGTAAGATACGTCCTGTGTATAGACAAACCCTATATCGCGAGCTTTCGCGGAAAGTCCGAGTGGGTAGCATTAATGATTTGCCGGGGACTTCTTACGAGAGCATATACATATAAAAGCGCAAAATGAGCGAAAAGTAAGAATAAAAAAAAATAAGAAACTCGGCATCCGCATTCTCCCGCTTCGCGTTTCCGCGTCCGAGCCGACGACGCGACGCCTCGTCTCTCCCGTGGTAACCGTAATATTTATTATCGAAGTTCGAGCAGCGGGGAATGAAACGAGGAGGGTATTAATGTATACGCGAAACTCGGTAAAGAGAAGTTTCTTATCCTCTACCACCCGCTGAGGGTGCGTAGTGTTCAGGGTATCTCGAACATTGACCTTACGATTAGGCACTTGGTACTTATTAAGGTTCGTGTGATTTAAACAAACAGTCGTATATCGCTCGTCGCGGGGAGAAAGGGAGAAAAGATAAATCTTCTGTATAGGGAAGCAAGCTTTCTTTCGTTTTTCCTTCTTCGAGTAGCGAGAAAACTCGGCTGTGGATAGTATCGGTGCAACACGTGACTCGATCAAAATGTGTTCGCGGTATCTACGATTAGCAGTTCGCTTTAAAAAATTTTTTCTAATACTTCAGTTGGCACTCGGAATTGAGATTCACGTTCGTAGCTGGAGTCTATTTGGTCACATGTTCAACCGATACACGCGTCGTCGTATCCTTCCTCGAGATCGCACGTCCCGTTCGGGATCGACGGGAAGTATATTTTATAACGAAGAGCGAAAGCGGAAAAAGACTAAAGATTTAATAGAATGGAAAATCATTCGCGTGGTCCAAGTAAAACTGATCGAGAACGAACGAGAGGAATTTGTCATAGCTCCACGAGAAAGCGATTTCGAGCAGCTATGAGTAACGCGTAATTTTTGTTCGTCGAATCGAAGGAAAGGCCAAGTATAAAGAAGAATATAATGGTTAAATATGGGCAAAGAGAAGTCGAAGAGGAATAAAAGACTAACGGCATTGTACAGTCGATAATAATTTATCACTCAGTCCAATTGTAAGATTGATTTAGCAGTTAAGGGTTGGATTAAGGATTCTCTGTTACGATATTAAGTTACGTCGATGTAGCCAGTAGATGCTACTGCGCTCGTAGGAACGGATATCAGCGATTTCTGTTAAACGAATTCAATGTCGAGCGACAAGCACGATGTAACTATATTTCCTCTCCGCGTCGGAGACACAACCACGAAGCATTTAAATACTTGGCACACAGGCCAGCATATTCCTTTTGTTTCTCCTGCTCCATTCTCTTCTCCACCCCCTTAATTTCAATTTGTCGAATTATCTTACTTATTGTCGCGACTTCTTTTCCGTATCGAACCTGAGGTACAAAACGTACGGTACTGGGACACGGTAAGATTTCGATTATCTCTCTCGGTTGTCAAAGCCTAGTGTTCACTCTAATGTACTCTGATGCTATGCGTAAGAAATTCTCGATTAATTACGTTTCTACGAAATGCATGTCTCCAGTCGAGAACCGAATAATCGAAACCCTGTCGTTAAAATCTTTCACGAAGTATCGAAGAACCTTCTACTTAATATCGATAATAGTTTTAACGAGCGGTCACAGCGCAGTGTATATGTTTATATGGACGTTGTAAATAAGGTATACGGGCTCGTCGTGAGTAGATACATTAAAATTCGTTTCTGATAGAACCCGCGCAGGTTTTATCCGAATGCAAGCACCGAGATTCACAAACAGAGGAAACATACACGCATTAAACGAGTATGCACTCGTCTACCCAGCTACGATCGTACTACGAAATCCCGTTCACTATACACGTACCTCCTATCCTCCATCCTACCTATCCTCTATCTCGTTCTCGGTTGTAAATGCAACAGTCGTATCGTTTTATTTATGTCGAAAGCTGTATTTATTATATGCGAAACATTCCACAGCAAGATGATCCGTGTGAGTGCGATCGGTTTTGTTGGATTTCATTGCAATTACTAGACTAAAATGAATATAGTGCTGAAGAAAGACGAACAAATGTAAATAAAAAGCTTCTTTTGCGAAAGAACTTATGGTTTCTCCTGATTTTCTTGATCATCTCGCAAAATTCGTTCCCCACGTCATCTTTAATCGAAAGTTATTTAGGATCCGATCTGTTTCCATAACATTCCGACTTGTTTTTTAATATTTCATTGCACGTTACAATGTTACATTATTTTTACGACCGCTATTCTTTTAACGACCATCAAACCGTCGTGGGCTTGATCATAAATCGAACGGTGCTATTCCCAACGAATAATATTTAACGCGATTTATACATTTTATTTGAAAGGTCGCTTGTCGAAATTTGTACCGTCGTTTAGGCAGAAGACGGGGAAGAAGGAAAGCATTTGAATACGTGTTTGTCTGCCGACCTATGTCACGATGTAAAAGCAATTCTGTATAGATAACGCAAGTATGTCAAGAACACTGTACATAAAAAAATATTTAATAAACCTTATATGTAAAATTCTAGTCGTTCTTTTGCATGGATCGTACATGTACAATTGCTGAGGACGTAAAGTTTTCCCTTCAAAAATTCCGGGACCGGTAAATACATTAGGACGATAATGATTGTATAATAATGCTTATTGAAACCGTGATTAAAATATCGACGACTATCTTCCATCGAAGATGAATCGTTCGTTATCTTTGTTTTTCCCCCGATCATATGATTTTTGACATTACGATTTCTAATGACGTCACTTGCCTTGCGCTACACGTCACATATATATATATATATATAATGTATAATGTGTGTCGCTTCGAACATGGCTGCGATCGAGTGCAACTTGAAAGAGGACTGCTCGACGGACTTGTCGAAGTCGCCGGTATTTTCAGATGAAACAGTCAAAACGATCGAAGAACATGAAACATCGGGGATACCGTTGCAGTCCGCCTGGACTTTCTGGTTGGACAGGTAAGAATGCCTATTTTCTATTCCGTCAACTATCGAATTCGCTGCACGTCTATATACTTCTTATCTTAACTTGATTGATACGAGAATTCTGACAAACGTCTCTGATATTAACGTCAGGAAATAATTGTGAACAGCGAGAAATATTTTACAGAGTTAAACTACCCATAATAACGTTAGACCATATTATTCATCGCTTTACTTCTCATTGTATCAACGTCATACGTGAATTTGTACAAAGATTTTTTAATAAAACTAAAAACTGATAAGTCGTATAATTGATGCAATCACTCGTACTAACTGCATATAATAGGATTTTAAGATTGTAGACTTGGACTAGGAGAAAGATTATTTTAGTAATAGTGTCTGTCCGCTTGTTATTATTTAAAGATGTGTGAATAAAAATTAATCCTGATAGCATTGGATCGTTGTTTGCTCATAGCGTGTATAGAAAGTTCTAAAGAGTTGATAAAATTGACAGAGCTATATCTGGCACAACTGTAGAGGAGTATAAACAAAATTTAACGAAGATTTATACTGTGAACACTGTACAAAGCTTTTGGGCTGTCTTCAATAATATACCAAAAGCCAGTGCTGTACAAGTAAGCTCCTGTCCAATTTCTTACACTATACTTACGCGTTCGAGAATACATATAAACAAGTGTTAACTCTGCGATAGGTCAGGTATAGCTATCATTTAATGAGAGATGAAAGATATCCATTATGGGAAGAGCCTATCAATCAGAATGGTGGAACATGGAGATTGAAGTGCTATAAATCTGATACTGTAGGTCTTAGAATGTTGATTACTTTGACCATCTTATTAATGCTGATCTCATCGTTTGTAGGAAACAATTTGGAAAGAAATGGTGCTCGCTGCTATTGGAGAACAATTTGCCGATTGCGTCATGGAAGGTGACGAAGTTTGCGGAGTGACTGTGTCTATAAGAGAAAGAGAAGACATTATCCAAGTAATAATATAGAACCACCACCACAAAATTATTCCAGAAGACATGAATCACGACACAAAGTCTTCTTACAGATTTGGAACATGAATGCGTCTTTGGCGTCAAAGGCTACAGTGTTGGATAAAGTCCACTCTCTGTTACCTAATACAAAGTTTCAAGAACTTTATAAACGTAAGTCTAAGATCGAACATAAGTTCTTCGAAATCATTAATCTTTATTTTATGTGTTGTATTCATGTTGCAGCGCATCAATCGCATCATGCTTATGGTCGTCGTTGAAATGCTACCATGAGTTTGCAATACTTCTTAGGAACGATCAAAAATCTGATTAGATCAATCAAGAAGAAAATGATTCTACTTATATACAAAGAAATGTTAAACTTTATTTGTTAATAATAAATTGTTTCTTAACAATGACTAATCGTGAAATACATTTACAAGGATTGCAACGTTCTACGCATAGACTTAAGATTGTCAAATATATTTTTATACTTACAAATATATTTTGAATTGTTGCACATTTGCCTAATCTTATTCTATCCCAATAAAGAATGTCTACTGGTCATATATAGAGCGCAATTGGTATTTATTAATCTGATATTCTTTGCGTTTTACAGTATATTAGAATCACGAATTAAGAGTACAGTCAAATACCTGTATATATAATTCCGAAACAGGAAACTCGATAAACTAGCCGTGGTCACTATTACATTAGTTGTCAGCGCTTGAAATTTTATGCTCAGATATTCTTGGAATTATGACGTCACAGAATTCCAGGAAAGGACATCACTTCACTCATTATATTCTCCTGTTACAACGTTAAATTCTTTCAATAAATTCGGATTTTTGGACTTTGTATCAGGAGAACATAAGACCATAGGAGGTAGCATTAAATTCTACCGCGACGTCGCAATTCCAAAAATTGGATTTTGTATCAGGAGAACATGAGTTTCTTTATTAATTAAACTTTCAAATGTACAAAATATATATAAAGGGCACTCTTTAGTATATAATATATAGTATGTGGTACCTGTTCAGTGCGAAATCATTGTGGAGGAACTTGGAAAGATAGTCATGCTACCACTACCCACGTGGGAAAAGACGGAACTACAATTTGTTGAATACGGTAAAATATGCCTGCAGGAAATAAATAAATATATAAATATAAATGTAATTGTATTGATAGACTTATAAGTAATATCGGTCCGCTTTTCGACTACCTATGGACTATCGTAATCCATACAAAATCTTTGAAGTCAAGTGTCACATGCGCACAAGTTTCCACATTTTATCTTATTTTATACTATTAATAATTACTTATAATACGAACAAAACAGAATCTGAAGTTTGAAGAGACTCGTGTATGAACTACAACTCGTATAAATTGGTTTTTCCATTGGAAGTAACACGTGGACTGAGTGAGCAGCGAGATTTTATTCGTCGACGAAGGAAAGTAGGAAAGTAGATGAAGCATCAAGCAGTTCGACGTCAGTAATCTCGGCGGGACGAGAGCCAATAAGAATGTTCGTCCCTTACACGCTTTTACAGCGATTACTCACTGACTGACTCAATCCATGCTTCTTGTATGTGTGTCAGCAGTACGCGATGCACGCATAGTCATATAACAATAGTGAACGCATTGTCGAAACGTATTGTTGACATTTTAAGTGACACCATCCTTAAAACCGAACAGCGGTATTGTTAACTCGGAAATCTCGTGCTCGCGTATCTACGACTCTGCTAGTTATCAGTCTCTAAAGTCACATCCATTCATTTAATATCTGATGCATAATACGAGGTTTAATAAGCTTGTACAGTGAACATAATAACCACTTTGTAAGTGTTTCAGTTAGTTCTAACCAAGTGTTTTATTTATTACTGAGAAATCTTTCATTGAATGATAAAAAACGTTTATATTAATCAAACTAATATTCTCTGTATAATACATTACGATGCTTGCAAGTTACAAACCCAGAAATGGTGATAAAAACGATACCAGTATTTACTTACTACAGATGATAACAATATTTACAGAGAGAGAAATTCCTACATTTATGTATAAACTTGTAGAGAGAATAAATGTTAATTATACGAACCAACCCTATCAATAAATATACCCTTTTATCTGATTTAACACTATTAATATTCATTAGTCTTCTCATTTGTTTCTTTCGGTACTAGTACAATTTTTACAGACCTCAGATACTCATACAATTATTTTCGTTGACATTAGTTTTTCTATTTTATTTTGTTACATGTTCATGTTATTTTTATTACAGTCGAAAATGTCGCAAACGACCACCATCGAAACAATCACTATCACCAGGCCCTTGAAGGTAAGCTATATCCTTGCCCTTTTATTTCAACAGATCGTTATTCAAGTAAAATTACTTCAAGATGATACTTGTAACAACAATCATTGCCATATCGGGTTTTTATAACAGAGTACGTAATATAAGATGGGTACGATACGAAAAAAGGTTGAGCAGAAATTTCGACACTTGATTTCGAATCGGAAGCTCCATTTTTACAGACAGATTGATTAGAAAATGTTTTTATAAACGGAGGCGTCCGTCTCAAGTTTCGTTCCTACGCTAAAAAGCACCCTCCATCACGTTCGCGCACTGCGCCACGACCTTTAATGGGCGCAGCTTCCCTGGAACCCAATTACTCCCTCGACTCGGGTCTCGAGACAGCCTGACAGCCTCCGCTTGACCTCGTCGGCCGTGCGACTTTTTTCGCGAGATTCAGCGAACGAATCGCGAGAAAATATCTGTTTACCCACGATAACGATGTAATTCGTGCGACGTTCTTTGCGATCCCGGGAAAGGTCTTGTGAAAATCGAACGTGCACACGAGAGACGCGAACTGTGTTTACCCCGAAGGTGTTGGTCGTTCACGAGAGTTTCGCGTCTTCGAATCGTCTCTAAATGCTGCCTCGTCATCTGTCGAGAGTGATCCGCGGAAGAGTGTACGATGTCCCGTAAACGGTGCTCGCCGAAGAAATCGAAAAGAGCGTGAATGGTTTGTGATTCCGTTCCAAGTTAGATAGCCAAACTCCCACGGTTTCGTCCATCGGGACTAATCTTGAGAAGTGCGCGGTGAATGTACAATGATCATGTACACGGTCGCGGAAGATCACATGGGCGATACCGAGATCGCACAGGTAGATTCATTTTACGAATACGTAGACGCAATACGTGCGTTGCAGGCGACGTTTTATAATTCAAGTAATCGTTTTCTTAAAAGTGGAACGCTCCTCTTGTGTTACAGGTGATAGCTTTCATATGTGGAATCATTGTAATATTGTTGATGATAATGGGTCTGGCTTCCACCGACTGGTTGATGTCGTTAGGATGGAGGCAAGGTCTGTTTGCACATTGTATAGAAGAGACTGCACCCACACCTCTGCCATTTAACGTGCCAGACTCTGCAGGATGTTTCCAAGCCAGAGACGTTGGTAAGAACAAGGGAACTCTTGTCAAGATTTTCATAGCATTCGATTTTACTTGATCGATTAATTACATCTGTTCTCGCAGCTTACATAAAAGCAGCTGCTGCCTTATGTGTGGTCTGTCTGATAACGGACATCGCAGCAACGGTCTTCACTGGTCTTGGCCTGAGATCACAGGATAACCGCGAGAAGCACAAATATTATAGATTCGCAGTCTTCTGCATGGGATTTGCATGTAAGATTCGTTTATCCACGTTCATTCGACGATATGTATATTCTAAACGACATTGACGTTCCTTCGTGTGTTACAGTGGTGTCACTTTTAATAGCCCTAGTAATATATCCAGTGTGCTTCGCGGCAGAGCTTAATCTCGGTAAGTTCGTAGGACACTCGCGATCCACGTCTTCCGTCTCCATTGCGTTTAATTAGGAACGAAAACTGATGTTACAGGAAACCGACCAATGTGGGAGTTTGGTTGGGCGTACGGAGTCGGCTGGGGTGCAGCCATATTCTTGTTCGGGGGAGCGGTATTGCTGTTATGCGACAAGGAGAGCGAAGAAATTTATTATAAGGAGAGGAAGATCGTGCGCGACGACATCGGCGGCGGCGGTGGTGGTTCTATGATTGGTATGGGACATCATGGTGGACGAAGTGGGACGCAATTAGCCTAGTGGCATTGCTCCCTGCCCGACGTTGTTCTCTAGGTGATTAATTTCTTCTTTTTCTGTCCTCACCGTTTGATACATCATACATCACTCGCGACGAAAATGATACGTACACATGTACAAGAGTGAATGGTTTTTTATACATAGTCTACTTGTTACATCGGCATGTATCGGACGATATACGAACGTCATCTCATCGACAAGGTTTGTAAGTTGACCGAGAACCGATTAAATTCGTCATTGGTTACCAATTTACAATTTTTCTCGTAGTAACAATTTCGGGACCATCGATCCGTTTAGTTCGCTACGATGATACGTGTATCACGTAGTTGCAAACGTATCTTACGCGGTGTATTTGCCATATTGCTTTTTAATTTACCAATTAATTCTTTTATACCATTGTGACGGCATCGATGTTTCTGCGTTTCTTATGCGTGTAACATCAATCGGATTTATTATCGCCAAGTTTCTCGTTCGCAAAATTATATAAACAGACATCACAGCGACAAGGATATAAAGAATATACGAATTGATAGAATCGGACACTGCCTATCTTTAGTCGAGCGAGGGATGTAAAAATTTTCGTTTCGCTTTAGCTAATATTTATTATCTTTAATTTTTGATATATTTGTATATATTTAGATGCTAGTAATTTATTATTTGCTTCCATCTATTTCTTTTATTATTCAAAGTGATAATTTACTTTAATCGAATTTACCAACATTTTTGGTTGGAATTTTGCAAAGGAATGAGATTTATATATTTATGCTTTCGTATAGATATTTTTTTCTAATAAAACTTGGCCAAAAATCGTTTCAAGCGAGACACCTCGTGATTATATACACGCACACTAAGAACACGAACGAAATTCCAACCATTCTTATTGATCTTTAGTGCCAGATAAAAAGCAACAGTTACGAAAGAATCGAGTACTTCATTACTCATTACATCACACATCATTAATTACCGTCGATCAAATGATTTTCTTTCTAACAGAGATTTATGGGATTTTTGTACACGTTCTCCCAGTCTTCCTTTGTTTATAAAACTTTAAACGATTTTCTATTGTATTATAAAACGTGCAAATGCTACCTCCGATAATTTTTATCTTTCGAGTACCGCTGTTCGAATGAGAAGTAGTTTTATTTGCAAGGGAAAAGCATTTCCTGTAATTCTTCCAAATTTTCTGCGTCTCACACTATTAAAATAACAATAAGATTAGACAATAATTATACTTTGCTTTAAATTAGTTTAGAGAATTTATCTATTAAATTTGCTGAAACTACGCATTTATTTTTATGACTAAGTTAATCCAACTAAATCGAATTGATCGAAATTCCTTAAAACATTGTTTTAAGCATGTTAATTTTATATGACGAGGGGAAAGATTAGTATGCGTCGTCGTACCGAGGATAATCATACTGAATCATCATCACTTACCAAAAATGAACATGTATGCAATGTGAGAGCTGACGTATGTACGCGTTCTAGCATTCACGGTAACGATCTATCTTCGATGTTACAATTGGTAAAAAGAAAAGTCGAGAGGGTAGCATCGAAGATTCGTTACAGGACGAAAATACAATTTCTAGCAGTATTATACATTACATAGTAACTCTTAATTGGTAACCGTATTTCTTTCTTCTTTCGCCTGATTTCGAATCGTGTAAATGTTCATGACTTCCGTTCACTTCCCCATACGAGTCATGTAATAACATTTTTTATGTTCGAACACACACAGCACCAAATGTTTATGTGTGCGATGGAATAGAGGCAGCTCGGGCAGGTATTATCTATTATGTTATCTGCATTACATACGTGTACGTATATGTATATATAGGTATTTTATAAATACATGTAATAGAACGATACACCTGCAGATATAATCGCGATGATCGTGCTTTCTATCGCGAAAGTAATAATTCGTAATTTTAACGCTAAGAATGTTTAAATGAGAGAACAGTGAGTTTAATTCTTTACCAAACACTGTCGATTTGCGCCTTTCGATTTTTGATATACTTTTAACGAACAACTAAAGTATCTTGTATAAGACTAAGCGTACAACCGACTTATCGGAAAATTATGTATAGTGAATTGAGTATTCGTGATCGGGCTTGTATCTTTCAATTAGAATTGCAGTGTATGTAGATAACCAGTTAATTCTTTGCTCTGCTATCACGATACAGGTATGTGTAAGGAAACAAACGAGATGATTGTAATTAAACGATTATAGATATATTATGTAGAATTAATAGAGCACCATACCAGAGTAAAAATAAAAGAAACACTAGCGGTTTGTTACGTATATATATATATTATACATATACAGTTACTTATCTAACAAAAAACGGATTCTCTGTCGTGTATATTTTAGCTAACGTTTAAATCGGATGATGGCCGTGTCGTTTTGTCTGTTATGTGCTTCCTTTATGCTTATTCAATTCCCAAAGAACAGAGGAACGCGATAGAGAAACTTACGTTTTCAGAGGACCGTTTCGACGATGGTTTTCTTATTATTTTATACAACCCGCATTATACTTCGACGTGTTAGAAGGATATCGTTTAATCGAATCAACTATTTACAAGAACAAAACTATGTCGTAGTGGGATTCATTGTACGTGCAAAAGGTGTCACCTAAACTAAATTGACGAAGTAGCGAAACGTAATACTTAACATTTCATAACATTGTATAGTACACATATCGTACTTATCCACGCATATCGTAGTAGGTATCATGAGAAATATTATCAGATTAAGAGAAGATAAAGGGTATAAATTCGTTTTCCTTATCGAGAAATATTGAAAATGATGTTAGTAGAAAATTATTTATGCGCCATATTACAATGTAAAACATATCGTCAAATTGTACAAAGAATAAAGTACCTATATACCTGAAAATTAACGCTCATACATTATTCAGTCCCACGCAGCTAAGTGAAAATCAAATGGAGAGGATAAAGAAGGCTATATTCGTTTCCAAATAATTATAATATCCAACGATGTAGCGATACAAATAATGAAAATTACTGAATCGAACGCAACATTTTCATTTCTCAAAGCGGTTTTGTTCCTTTTCGATAAGTAATAAATACACATGTGCGCGATTTTTATATGGTAAATAATGTGTACGTGTAACAAAGTATGTACGTAGGTATTGGCAAACAAGTTACACGTTATGCATCATTCGTATAAATACAAAATAAGATTACATACGTATATATTTATATAAATCTAAACGAAAAAAAGTAGTATACAAAATATAAATCTATCCAGAATTCACTTGCGATACAAAAATCAATTTCTTCGGAAAAATATGTTTGTAATATATACACGCGCGCGCGCGCGCAGACTCTCGTTTGTCCATGCACTTGTGGTCAAACTTAACAGCACATTTTAGATAGAATTACAATATACTTTCTCTCCCTCTCTCTCTCTCTCTCTCTCTCCCTCCCTCTCTCACTGTGGGTAACTAATATAAATCTTTCTTTTTACCTTTCGTAACCCTTTTTCACTCCCGGTCGATCTATCACAAATAGAGAACCATCAGGACCAAATATGCGTTGTCAATCCTCTTCGACGCATTATTATTAATCTCTTCGATCCTTACTCTGTCCTCCGAGAAACATTTCTTTCGCGTGTGATTTGGCAGTAAAATATATATCAAAAATGTTCAACGTACTAACATTTGTAAAAGATACAAAATATCTTGCGCACCCTCAAAAAAATGCTTTATTTAAACACACCGGACGATCTACATCATCGGCCAGCAAAGTTAACAATACGAGATATACAAGTCCTCTTATTTCTTTCGCTAAAGCATCAAAATTAAACTTTTAACTCCACTCTCATACCTTTTTATTGCATTCATCGCAGAAACTAAACGACGCCAATATACGAGATTTCGTATAAGCTTTTTGATCTTCTTTTCTCGATCTCGTCGATCGATCAAGAAAATTATAAAAAAAAAAATGATAATATTGTCAAAGAGACTCTACGCATGCTAGGTGCGGTTAACGCGTCCGCATGAACAAATCACAGGCACTGCTCTGTGTCGTTTTATTTCGACCCCGTTTATAAAATAATCCAGGGGATTAGTTAAATTTTCGTTTAACAATATTTGAAATGAAAACGCGAAAAACGTTTAAAAAAAAAGTCCCATCGTCTTTCGCCACGACGCGAAACGTCCTGCGTATAAAGTGTAAGATAACTTTCTTTTTATTAATATATCTCACAAATTCATGTGCGTCATCACATGAACGCCAACGAGTTAACGCGAGAACTCGACGACTCGAACTTGAAAAGAATCAGTGGTACTCTGTGACATTTGTCAGGACATGTAGAGATTCGACATTAAATAGAATAATTCTGTACTATTTATAACTTTTGTTACAGTGCTGATACGAGAATACCACTGCTTTAAATGTAACTATAGAAATAACAATGTTTATTAAAATACATGTTTGAAGATAAATTCCTTCTTCCGACAACGCGTACACTCGTATAACGTGCATTCGTTCCATTCTCACTCTATTAAATGAAATCTCTTCTCACCGTTCCAAGAAAAATACGCGACCAAGTTATACGAGTGTAAACGGCGAACTTAATCTACCAACAAAAATATAAGATCTTCGATTGCGCTACGGGATGGAAATGGAAGCGTGTGTAATAAAATACAATGTTTCTGCTGTTTTAGAGAGCTACGAAAATTAGGTCTTTGCATTGCGGACGAATAAGAACGCTTCAGGAAATTTTACGAAACTTGTCATTACGAACCTAGCGGTTTCTATCCTACCTCATCGAACACTCGTTGCGAACAACTTAAAATTGTGCTAATTGAACAATGCTTGTAAATAAATCCTTGTTTGAGTATCCTTAATATGTAAGCGGGTATCAGTTCGACAGTAAAAGTTTCTTCTCGTTTTTCTTTTTTTTTGGTCCTATTTACCGATCCTGCGAACCTTGCGATCGGCCATTGTAAGCATTTTTAACGTTTCTATTCATACTGATGTAGTAGGCGTAAGGATAAGCCTAGCGCAACCGAGTATCATAATTTCATCTCCCACAGCACGATGTGTGCATCGTTGCTGTTGGGATCCTTGAAAGTGTAGCCAGACTTGGAACCTTTGTCAGAGACCGACTGTACGTTCAGCTGTCTCCAATTTATATAACCACGTCCACCCATCAACGTCAGAACGGTTCGCTTCGGTTGATCTATCTGTTGCAATGTTTTGTTAATCTTTTTGCTGTTTGGTTTCAAATTGTTAGGCGACGGTATGGTCTCCGTTACTGATTGCTGACCTATGCTACTATTAGGGGTGGTCGTGTCGTAGGGACCGTTTCGACTAGCTGTGCTACTGTTTCGAGACAATTTTCCTGTCTTTAAAGACAGATTCTCTTCGGATCCGGAGGACGTGTACAGAGAGCTCGCGTGGGAATCGACCGACCAGTTCGACAAGTCCAGCGATCTGGGTCTCGTAATCTTCATTTTCAGTCTACGGTGCAAGGTGCTAACTTTATTTGGTATGGCTGCCAGTTCCGGATCACTCCTTCTCAACGGCTCGTAGATCAGATCGATACCGGAACTGTTTTCGTTCTCGTAATCCTTGACATACATCAGCTCCCCGTACAAACCATAAACGTCGCAGTTCTCCCCGGAACTTTGCGATCCGGACATTGAACTGGACAGAAATCCCCCACCGGAACCAAGACCCCTGGGGAGCGTCTTCGAGCCTCTGTACTCGTACTCTTTGCTACGCTTCCGTCTCAACATTACAGGACTGCTTGCCAGGTGTTGCTTCAATTTCACTATGCTGTTCGCCATGGAGGAATCTAAGCTCGCTCGATCTCTGGTTCTACCGCTGTCCGATTCCTTTGGTCTTAATTGCACGGTCTCCTCGTCGGTTATCTCGTCGGTCGCGCAGTTTATTGTATTCTTCGGGTTCTGAATAGCGAGAAGGAAAGTGATAGGCCCGAAATGAGCGTGATACGAAATATTGACCCGACCGCTGATGATCGGCACTCCTTCCAATCGCGGTAACGGGATCGTCAGGCTAATTCCAACGTTTGTGCCTACCCAGAGGAGGCCCTTGCACGCCAACAGTGCCGTGACCGTGACGGTGGTCTGATTATTGTTCAAACTATCGCCACACGAATTCGAGGCGATATTTGATCTGGTCACTCTCAACACATTCGACGCTATGTTGATGTCTTGCAAATGCTTGAATGTTTCCGTGTGATACAGGCAGACAGTGCTCGAATTCTTGAGAGCTACCCAGAGACCGACTCCGGAATGAGCCATCAACTTAACGCTGCCGACGTGTTCGTGCTGCGCGCTAAAACTCTTGGTGATCTCGCCGCTGACCCCGTCAAGTACCCAAACTTTCTTGCCGCACGCCGCGTAGACCGACGCGTTGATCGGCATCAAGCAGGAGACCGGTTCGGTGCCCAACGAGATTGAGAACGGGTCCCTGAGGTTCCAAGTGCCGTCTACTTGTCGTCTGAAAAGCAAGAGCAATCCGATTCCCAAGGCGATGAACACGCTGTCGCAGTGATGCTTGATTTGTATCACCGGACCCGACACCGAATAATTTCCGAGCTCCTCTTGCTTCTCCGGTTCCGAGGCGGCGTAGATGATGATCTTCCGAGAATCCGTGCCCATCCATACGAGATCACCGGCTAACGAGAGCGGATCTGAGGTGACGCCCTTCACGTACTCTACAGCGGCCACCTTGGTCTCGACTAGATCGAACGCCGTCATCTGTTTCAAACAAGTCGCCGAGGCAGTCGTCGACTGACCAAACACCGTCACGTGACTCGATATTCCATCGCTGGTACATATCCACAAGTAACTTTGACTCCTACCGCGACGCCTCGTTGGACGTGGATTTTGCGTGGTGTAATAGCATCCGCAACGTACCTGAGAGTAGATTCATTTCGTTCAATTCAAACTACCATTAAATACGTACGAAATATATTTGAAGAGAGAGAATATACTTACTTCTGTCTGATGTTGCGAATGATACACCGGCTGAGAGCTAACAAAGAGCGGCATTTTCGTGGATGGCCTCTGTTCTTGTTCAGGTACTTCCCAGGATGGGGAATTGTTTGGATCTAAGGCTAGCTGTGCCAGTCTAAGCTCCGTTATCCAGTCTTTCTTCACAAGGGGATTCTCGGTTTGGAACGTGTACATCTGTCCCTGCTTCGTCACTAATTGCAAACAGCAACTATCCGCCCAAACCATGTCCTCGTCCTTTTGTTGTATCGAAAGTTGTATGGATTGTAATATCTGTTTAGTTTTCTCCAGCGTCATTCCCTTTGGGTTGGAAAATATTTTTAATAAATGTGTACCGAGTCAATCGTCGTTTACTTTTTCTTCACAATTTACTTACCTCATATTTACCCTTCAGTTGCGCAATCAAGTCGCTTACCCTAGACATGACCTCGTAGTCGTGCATCAAGTCGTTCATTTCCACGCACAAATTGTCTGCACCCGCCTGTCCGCATTCTCCGCTCTTGTCAGATTTTAAACTGCCACCCTTATTTAAGCCAGCAGTGAGTAAGCGGCTTAACGTTGGTGAAGTACTCGTATCTTGAATCTGCGAAACAAACAGATGTTGGTACCGAAAAAGTAGAATTACCAAACGTGCTCGACAAAAGACAAGCATGTACCTCTATGTCTGACACGGGATACGTCCACTTCAAGCTAAGTCTTTCACTCCCGCTAAAATCTTCCGCAGACCTCGGAGTCACCGAAACGCACATCACGAGATCATTCAACAGCAGTAATCTTCGTCTTTTGGACTTGGTTATCATACCGTTTTGATTAAATTCCTGAGAGAAGAGAATTGTAAGTTACACAAGCAAACTACATAAAATGAATTTTCGGAAGAATAAATATTTACCAGTTGTGTGACGTTGTCCTCTCGTATGAGATACCTCGACGAGGAGGAGAGTGGACGATGAGACAACTTGCCGGACACATGTCGAAGCATCTCTTTGAAAGCTTGGAATTGTTCCGTTTCGCGTTTCCTCTCGTTCAACATTTCCGCCAGGCTCTCCAACTGCGTCAACGCTAATTGCAACGACATCCTATCGTGATGTCCTTGCGGAGTGTGTTTCAACAAGTCCTAACGAAATTCGCATAATGAATTAAAATATCCATCGAACACGGTTCTGAAGCATTTATAAATTTAAATACTCACTTGCAAGAATAATATAAACTGCGGGAACCTTTGCACGGGCTTGACCATCAGCCCAAAAAAGGACAACCTGTCGTGCGCACTTATTTGTTTCACCTGGAAGATGAAATGCCGATCGTGAATATAAAAGGAAAAGATAGCTCGTAAACGAGAGGGAGAGAGTTCGCGAGTCGCACCTTGAAAAAATCAGCGAGCGCAGTCTTTCGTTTTGATTCTTGTTTAGCCAAATCCATAGCTACTGAAAAATTATTTATAAACCCACTATATATGTCAAGAACGATAGCTTTGCTGAAACTTGCTACAAACACGTCTCCTAACTTTTCGTCCTTGTCCCATGATCGTACGCATTCTGCTAACGCGATTCTAAACAACGTGTGGCATTGCAGAATCTCGGGTAATCTATGAAACAACGTAGCTATTTTCGCCTGACTCAATATAGGCGGCGAGGACTCTTCCAACGGTTTCTTGTAATCCTGAAACACGGAAGAAGCAGGTGGGATTTATTTTTAAACGAAACAATTAGTTCCGGTTCATTCCGTGGAAAGATTCGAATGGACCCACGTACGTTCACTAGCCTCTGCAACGTGGACACGTAACTGTTCTCAGAGTGCACTATAGCGGCTACTATGTGTCGACGCTTCAGCTGTTGGGGAGTCAAATTGGGAGGTACCGGGGGGAGAGCCGGCGGGGTTTGCCTGCGTTGCTGCATGCACTGGAATTGCACCATCGCGCTGTTCTCCTCCTCGACTTCGCAGAGCTGCGGCATCTGGGGTGTTTTGATAGGGCTAGTAAGGGACACTGTGTCGGAAGAATCGACGTCGTATTGCTGCGTCGATCCTCTCCGCATGCTAAACCATCTGGACAGCCTGCCATGGTTCCCGGGCGTGTCCAACGGGTCGGCATTGTTCACTCGCATATTTTGCGACCTCCACTTGTCGCACAGCGTCCTTGCCTTGTGCAACGTGTTCCTCAATTGGCAATTACTTCTGCGAAGAATTAACAATCGTTTCCGATTAATTGCACACGTCCTCCGGAGGATGCCGCTGTGGGAAGAATAGGAGAGAGTCCCGTCGCGATTGGTTCGTTGAACCAACAATTGCGCTGATCAATTGCTACGAATTGTCTTCCTCCTCCGAAGTCGGATAGACCATCTTCCGCGCGTTTATCAATAAAATCTGCTTACTTAATACTGATATTACTCTTCTCGCTCTCATCGTCCGAGGAAAGATCGTGGTCCGACGCCGAGCACCAAGAGTCCTCGCTTCTAGCCGACTGCGTCGAGGTGTTTGATCTAGTCGCCTCTAAGGAGGGATGTTGTCTGTGCGTTTGCCCGACGGTTTCCATTTTAGTCGGTCCTACGTCATCCCATGATCTGCACCTTGAACGTGGTTCATCTGAAAAACGAAGCGAGAAATAATCCTAAAATCCTCCGCTCTCATTTCCATCCACACCTCGACGAGCAATCTCGATGCAAAGTCGTCCAAGTAGGGCATACATACGCTGCTATGCTCGCTTCGCTCATCGTGCTCGTCAGATATACATATTAGGCGTCGGCATTGTTTCTAGTTCAATGGTATGATTCGCGATAATTAACGCGAGGCCGATCTCAGCGCTCGAGCCGCTTGTACCGTAAGAAAGATGTTAAACTTGAATGATATCGCGCGTTTTCGAAACGGAACGAGTTTCAGTACGAGAGATGGTATTACAAATCTTGGTACGAACTAGCACGAGTTTCGCAAGAGCGTTCGTTCAAACGACCTCCTCGAGATCGAGACAAGTCATTTCCATACGCCTCTTAATACAGCTATATTTTTGTGAAACGCGTGACGACAGTCTCTATTTATACAACGTGTGTCAATCCGTTCGAGATTTGATCACCTTTCTTCGAAACTTGGTAACACCTTCGGCATCGGTTCGTTACGAACAAGCTTCCGCTTGTATTTCGCTCTTTAATAAATAGTAGTTGAACAGCAAACACGAGGCGCGTTTCAGGATCGTCTTCTCGCGTAGGCGTTCACCTGCGATTTCCCAAGGGAACTTCTTACACGTGTGCAAGACATTTGTTCGACGCTTAGAAACGACAACGTGCTTTTTTATCAATTTTAAATTCGTCTTTATTTCAAGAGCTCTTCAAATATTTACAACCGATGGGAAGAACGCGTGGCCGAACTCGTATCAATCGCGTTACGGAAAGCATTTAAACTCGTTGCGAGCACGTTTAGAGGCGATGTACACGGAAGATAAGAGCGTACGTGAGTCATTTCTTTGAGGCTGTCAATCTGTATTCTCGAATGACGCCGAAAGAAAATGTGCCGCCCGTTCGTTGCAATCACGCATTCAATTCGATATCAATAAAAATTGCCATTCCTAATCGAGATACGATCAGAAAATCTGCTTCGGCCAGGTATCAATAAGCGCGTTAATGACGCGAACGTAATTTATCTTGTCAACTCTTTTCGTGCACGGAATCACTTTCACCCGTCGACTGAAAATGCGCGCGTTATGCCCGCTGTATGTGCCCGATCGTTCAATTCCAGCTTCATTTATGAGCTTCGCGTGGACAGAGTCTAGCGCTCAGCCTGCCGTGCCGGTAGGCAATCGTTCGAGTTAAACAGTTGGCTCGTTCCCACGTTTCAAAGCCAAACGCACACAATGGTCAGTGTTTACCTATTCTCTTACGCGGCTAATCGTTCCCTTGCACAATCAATCTCAACGATTTCATCTCGGTTCAATTATCCCATTCGCACCGCACGCAATACTCCTTATGACTGTCGTAACGGTTGATACGATAATTAATATAACGTCACATAGAACGATTGAGACAGTGATCGATGCTGGATTTAAAAATATTTGTCATTAATTCCTCGTAGAGAGACGGTGTGATGATCGTTTTAATTAAAAGTGCAGCAAATTGGCTTGAGCCGCGCGAAAGCGTTTTACACGTCGTTTATAAATGTGGGAAAGAGCAGAGCGAGCCGGCGTTAACCAGATAGTCACCCTGACGTTAACACCGAAGTAACTTGAGCGCCGCACAAACACCGGAAAGTCCAATAAAAGCAACAACGCGTGGAACCTACCACTTCCGCGCGAGGGACGGTCAACCACCACTGAGAGCATCGCGATGCTCTCTCGCCGGACGATTCCCTCTAAGTTCAAGTTCAAACTTTCTCAACCTCTGCGGGACCGTCGGAAAAATTCGAGGATCGCAGAAAATTCGCGGTGAAAGCATTAAAAGTGAAACAAGGAAGCGTTTCACCAAATCGATTCCCAGTGGCAATAATTTAACGATCGTATCGCAAACTCGCGGCTAACGGTGTCAGGCTATTCACGGAGCAAACAATTAAGCCGTTGCGTAATATTAAAAAATCGTGTCAACCTCGCTGTACGTTCGACCGGTCTTGTATCGCCAAAATTTATTAACCCGAACAGGACTTGAATCAAACTAATTGTTGTATTCCGAGAAGAATGTGAATGAACACTGAACAAGCTTTCACGAATATCTCGGCAAGGGCCGTTTATCATTCCCCGAGTAGAGAGAAAGAGAGAGAGAGAGAGAGAGAGAGAGAGAGAGAAAGAGAGGTCCGACCAATGCAACTGCATTCTGATACCGATATTCACTTAATGCCTCACCTATTAACCTCGCCAACGAGTATATACAACATTCGGTACTCGATCTCGGCAGATAAAATCCCACTAACAATGACAGTAATTACTTTCGCAACATCGCTGCGTCAATGAATTCGTTGCAAGCATCAACGTAGCGACGACACATTCCTTTTACACGTGGAAAACAATGAAATNATTTTATTCAGTATGGGGACTAAGAATCTCGTAATATTGATTATAGGGACCCGCCATCTCAAACTTGTCCACTTCTTTCCCGTTTTATAAAAGGGTTAATTCTTTGGGGGATTCCTTTTACACGCGGAAAATTCTAGGCCCGAATTTATAATCGTTTCTAAGTTCTCAGTACTCAGTTTTCAGTTTTTAATTTTAGTTCTCAACTGCTTATTGTATATCTATGTATATGATTAATGAAAATCGAAGATATATTTTAAAATATATTTATTTAGTTTTATTTCATTATTGATCAAGATTTTTTAAAATTTCATTGAAGCGTCTACGGTTATTGTGGTAGGCTTATTCACTTCGATAAAATTTTGAAAGGTCATAATGAAATAAAACATTTAAAAATATATGCTCGATTTTCATCAATCATGTATCACGAAACACATAAATATGCAACAAGCAGTTGAGAACTGAGAAACTATAAATTCCAGCCCCACTAGTTCAAGAGACGCAGTAGCGTCCCGAGGATATCAATTTTATCTATATATTTTCCGAAGAATATACATTTTTAATTAGGTAAGGGAATAAAGTGGTATCGGCACAGAGAGATGGATCACGGTAGCGTGCAGTCTTTTACCGATATTCCCGGAACCTTGGATCTGTATCTTAATGGATTAGCTGCTGGACACTCGTCACGTTGTGGCTTACATAATTCGATGCGCATAATCTGTCCGAGCGTGTGCATCGCTTTGTAAAACATTCGGAACACTCGGCATGAATATTGCAATAGATCGAACTCGATTCCCTAACGACTGAGCGGCCAAGACCGTTTCAAGGAAAAATGCACGGTGTCACGATCAAGGCCACGATTCTAAGTCTTTCCAATAATTCTTCCCTCCTCCCCCGTGATTCAGGTCGCGATGACGTAATTAAGAATTTAGAAACAGGTGAAGAAATATCTGTGAAATCGTACGACCAAAGATGCCGGGGTATTACATTTAATAGCATCGTCTTTCCCGTGAATTTTTCTGGGGAAGACGCAGCGTCCATTATACGGTACGATGTTATTAAAAAGGTAATGCATATGAATCACGTTTAAAAGATTAATGCCGCGGTCTGCGACGACGCATCGCCGGTGTAACTGTGAAGCATACGACGTTGCGTCACGTCTCTCTAAATGGTAAAGACGATTGCAGACGAAACGATCTCAGGCCTTTTGTAACGAGTTCAATAATTTGTTCTCTCTTCTCTCCGATTCTTTATACCACCGAGGGACGGATAAACGCTGCACCGACTCTTGGAACGAGAAGCGGTGAATTTATCAGACGCCGAGGAAACCGGCTGCATCATCTCGACTGGAAACAAGGTTGAACGTTCAAGGATAAAAACATCCTAGACAAAAAGTACGCGATCTTTGCGCCATATCCTTTCTTCTTGCAAACCGGAAACCGGCACGAACGACACATAACGCATTCAGAATGTTCCCTCGACGCGTCATGCCAGTAGTTCGGCCTCGAGACTGACGTACAGGCTCGTTACTTTTACGATTCCCTCCCGAGCATGTATGTATGTATCTCATACAGATTCGAAGAGAAAAAAACAAACAGGAGCAATAAACCGAGATTCGAGCAAATCTTGCGTATAATACCGGAACGTGCAACAAGAATTCATTTTGAAAATTCGAATACATTACTTATTTATAAGAAAAAATTAAATTTACAGGAGATCTCTCTCGAAAGCTGAATGCATTTTTAAATCGTCTTCCACAGTCGTCTTCCTTGGCCTCGACAAACACGGTTGCGCTTCGAAACGTTTGGCAATGCGAATTCGCACGGGTTCGATAAATGTAAATTATCGCGTCCGCGTAGTTTGTCGTAAGATTTATTCTACTGTCAGTGAGCAAAACAATGCGTTTGATGCTCTTTGAACGGACATTCAATAAATGAAAAACGACGAGCTCGTATATAAATCCGATGCTTAAAAGATAAATCATTGGCCGGTTCGTCATTGGCAGAGCCTCGATCGTTACTGCCTTTGGAGATAAACGCGAGCAAGTCGTATGGTCATCCCTCGCGCGTTTCAATGCGTTAACTCGCGCGCAGGAAGTCGATTATCGCACCACCAACACATCGTCGCATTAATATGCTTTGCCAGATATCGGCGTCGGTTCACCGAGTACATAATTTATCCATGCCCGTTGTCTCGGTTTCATCGTAACTGCGATATCGATCGTTATTGGAAATAATTTAAATCGTACATGACTATGGTAAATTTTATGGTCGCCGCTTCGACGAAAGCCTCATCTTATTTTTACTAATTTGGTAGTGACAAGAACGAGACTTTCTTTTAGTGAAAAAAGGTCCAAATGGACTGTGTAACCTCGTGGGGAGCTGGCCAGTCGAAGGATGACTCGTTTTCCCCGATTCACCGAACCACTCGAGATTTTTTCGGTGCCTCGTGTCGCAACAGGGACTTTCACGAACGAAATTGTTTGAAAACGTATCGTTGGTGTCCACCCACGCGATCTCGCCACGCACGAGTGAACGCGAGAGCGTACAAACGTACCTATCGGCGCGTGCTTGCACCACGAAGCACGTGCGGTACTTCAGCAACAGGAAAAAAGGAAAAAGCTAGCGCGCGATTTTCAGTTTCGCGAACGGGTTTCCGTGGATTCGATCGAGTCTTTATGCGTTTCCAAGGTAAGGCGCGCGGAGACGTTTATAGAGGAGAAAAGAATGTGTTCGAGCTTAGTAATTTCACGTGAACGGGCACGTGACTCCCGGGGGAATGCGAGAACGATCTCCGGACGGAACTGCTCCCTAAGGGGGTTGCAGCATTAAGCGAAAGTACAGAGTGAATCGATGAGAACGATTGATTATTTTAAAACATGCTCCATTTCACTTTGTCAATCATTTTAATGAAATCCATTATTTCAGGTAATAGCTCTTATCGATTCAGTTTATATAAACGAATTTGTAGGGGACACGATGCATCCAGTCGGTTTCGTTTGCCACAATCGAATAAATATGAATCGAATCGATGAAATATAGTTTTCTTTGTTTCTTTCTCTCTCTTTTTTGCCCCGAACTGAACCCACTCGTTTCCCTCGCACGAGCAAATATATGGAAAAACCGAACGTCCAATTGTGTTCGCAATCGTACGTCGCGTCGTCGAACCGTGAATTTTATTGGTAAAATGTAACAAGTGGATTCACCTCGTAGAAACGAGCCACTGTTTGTTTCTCTGTATTGACTTGTATTATTCCACGTACTTGGGTTCTATCGGTCCGCGTGCACTCATCCTCTCAACATACGTATGCATAAACCCATTCGTACGCGTGTCACGAATCAAAAACTCGTTATTACTCAGTGGTTCGATTACATCAAAGTAGTACCAAATCTATCCCGTTCTCATTGCTTACGTGATTCTCATTCCGAATTGAGTCAGTGAGAATACTCAGTGCAACCCACTTTTTAAGAATGATCAGTTAATAGTTTGATAAAACCGGAGACGATATGAAAATTGATCTCGAGGGTAGAAGTCATCAAATAAACTTGAGCTTACTGACCAGCTCGGTTGCGTAGTTCTGCACAGTTCACAGCATCCAAAAGTGTATCATTGAACTCAACACCGAAACACGAATCTCATATGAAATCACTGAATGACGAGTCCTTATCCGAGTCTTATGGCACGGTGTTCACGACGACCAAACAATAAAACTGCGAGCGTTGATAACGCTTGGACCAGTCGAGACTCGGCACGTTTAATCGGTTGTTTGGACACGAGCGTGTAACACGACTGAATTCGAGCGAGGACGACCGTCGAGGCTGAGCACACGATCGACACTATCCCCTAAGCCCGTAGCGAGTCGCGTCGCTGATTCTTCCGCCGCTCGCGGCCCACGCGTATGCAAGTACGTACGTACGAGCCGGGGCTCGTGTCTCCCGCGATGCACGCGATAGCGCGGGCGCATGCGTTTCCCGTTTGTCCTCCTGCACTCTAAACGTCGCACTTCTGCACTTTCCATCGCACCCTGGGTGGAAATGAATCTTTAACTCTAATCGGTTGAACGCGCCGCGTTATTCAATATGAAAATCCCGTATGCTTCTTTCCTCTTGTAAATCGTGCAACCAGTGACGATTGTACTTTAACAAAGTACAGCAGAAAATTCGTTTTAAACAGCAATTTCTTTTACCATTTGAATGTTGGAATACGCATTTGGTTTTTCATATCCCATGCTCCTATCCGTTACGCGCGGTCTCTTCATATTTCCTTGCTCTATGCCAGATTTCCCAGGACAAAAATTGAAACAAAGATCCATTTTGCATCAGAAAAGAGTAATGCCTACACACAATGCTGGTACGAAGGTGAAGGAATGAGGCTAGTCACGCGATGACCTCGCGGATACCGTGATATTCGCACACGCTCGGACCGAATCCGTTGAGTCTTAGCGGACAAGGAGGATTTACAAAACGACGCCGCGCGGAATAAAAAATACGCTGAATTAACGATAAGGCGGCTCGTCAATAGGTATTCCAATCGATCTGCGATGGATTACCGGTGACTCACCTCGTTGCATAGCCGTGGACTGATTGTGTCACTCTTGAATCATAGTGATTTAACTCGGCGATAATTGCTGGAAAAATCTGTTCATGTACAATCGGTTTTTTCAAATCATGTAAATACGTGAATACGAAAATAGAGAAAGTACGTAGTGTATCATATTTTTAACAGATAAGATACTTTTTAGACGGAACGTGCAACAATCAAGCATTCTGTCACCGGTTAAATTTATCAATTTATCGCAAGGATCCGCGTTATCACCTAGTTTCGAATCGTCGGTCGCATGAATGGAACAAGTTGTTTCCAATATCGTTGATATCACGTTTTGCGAGTAAACTCTAACAGAAATGGTTCGTCGACCTCGGAAACGATCTACAGCGCGCGGGTCACGTGAACGATCGATTCGTTACAGGCGCGTA